ACCAGACCTATCCCCACAGAATTAAACACTTTACTGCTGTTGAATTCTGTGTGGTTGGGGAAGGTTAGGGTTAAAAGAGCACATTAAACGTGCATTTTCTCTGAAAAACTAAACCTCCCATGAGTTCATTTTTTTGTGAGCAGGTAAGGGTAAATTTTTCATAGGTCTTCACTTTTCAGTTTCAAAGTTCCACATTCACAACTACTGCCCTTACTTTGTGGAAACAGCTCTGGGAATCGTCCAAAAATTGACTGATCAAATTTGTCCACATCACAAGGGCATTCAAAATGGGTCTTACCTGCAATGGAGGTCAGCCCCGCCCAAATCCTCGGGAGAGACCACCTCACCGGTGGCTGCTCGCACCTGTTTGAACAGAGAAATTCTCATCCCAATCAATTACAAACGTCCCATGCAACACACAAACAAGAATTCAGATGCCAGTTGTGACTGGGGACGGGACCTCACACATGTATGAGGACAGGTAATGTCCCATAAGTTTCTGAAATCATCCAAGTTGATTTATACCATATGTTATCTCTCGTGCATTTGATCAAGCTTCCAAATACTCATACATGTGAAATGTAGCACCTACATATGTACATGTATTTGGCATTTCAATGACTTCCTTCTTGTACAAGAGGTACAATTCTCAGGCTCTACATGTATGTTAAGGGAGAGGCACCGAGGCTGTGTCCAGCCTACTGACAAGTTTTGACTTGGACATAGTCCTTCCGTAGTGAAGCCCTTTGACAAACTTACTTAACCTCACAGTGGAATAATAGGAACCTGTGGGTCAGAATTTGTTTGTAGGATGGCTGGTTTATTCAAGGTCTGGGCCCCAATTTCACAGCACTGTCTAACAGCCGATTTTGAGCTACCAGAGCCCCATCTGATTTTACAGAGGACTGTTAGGCAGCAAAAGCATGCTTAAACCCAGAGAGAAAAGTTGCTTAGCCCCTAACTACCCCAAACTCCAACAGCAGGTTTTGGAAGGTTTGGTACCACACCTGATGAACTTATTAAACTTTGTTGTCAAAGGTCCAGGGGGATGGTGTTGGATTTTGTGCGAGTTGGGACACAGGGTTCATTGTGTGCAGTGTCTGGCTTGCTGTACCAAGTGTTGGACTATGCTTGATTTTGTCAGGTTTGTTACTGCTGCAGAGCAAGTCATCCTATACTGCATAGACCCATCCATCCAACGGGCTCACTGAGTCAGAGTTTATCACGTTTGGTCCCGTGACCTGCATATACAAGTACATGTACATGGACAAGTGCATGCACGTGTTGGATTTTGTGAGGTTCAGTATGCTTTCTAGTGCAGGAGCCTGGGGGGTTAGGGCTAAATCAATAATGTAACAATTATAAATCTCAGCGCAGGCACAACTGTCAGTGCATCCATGAGATGTAAAAGTGCTTATGAAGCAGCATCATATTCTGCTGTACAGCTAGCATAGCTTTATCACTAACTGTTTATCAGCAATGACATTGGACCTAGAATTCCTAGATGTACATCCGTCCAGTGATGCTGTCCAAGGGAACACAGATGGAACAAGGAACATGCCATCTATGGCTAAATCACTGAACACCACAAACAAGGATGACAATCAGCTACATGGGACAACAAACCCTACCGGGAGACTGCAGCTCTTCACAAGGCGTTCAACACAACCTCACTTTGGGTATTTGCACTCCACAATACCACACGGCTTTTACATCAAGGCAACTCCACCTGGCCTTACCAAGGGCGGTCCTGCAAGAAAAATGGTTCCTTGCTTCTTGACGATGATGCTCTGGTCAGCCATGGCTGGTACATATGCTCCTCCGGCTGTACAGCTACCCATGACAACGGCAATCTGGAAAAACCAGTTGAAAAAGATACTTATAGTTCACAATAGAGAAAAGCCTATTTAGCAAAATTGGTACTTGTAAGTCATCTTAGCTCAACTAATGTGATACAAGGTATCCACTTGAGATGCGGCGAATTGAACATGATGCAAATCAAGCACAAATAGTGGACATCCATATGGATTCAAGGCCTCAATTTAAAAAAGGGCACACACTTCATAAAGTCTGATGTTTCATTTGTTATTTTTTTTTGGTTGCATTCACAAACTATGCGTACAATTCTCCTTGAAACACCTGTATTGGGCAATAATTTTGATGTCTTACACTCTCCACAGATACGTGCGAGCATTCCATGAACGGACAACATACACAAACATGACAAAAGTTTAGGCCGGGGTCAAAGGTTGCTGACCTGAGGTATCCCCATGCCGGACATTGTGGCTTGATTGTAGAAGATGCGACCAAAGTTATCTCTGTCCGGAAAGACTTCATCCTGCCTGGGTAAGTTGGCCCCTCCGGAATCCACTGTAGTATTGGAAAACAGACGAATAAGAGTGATTTTAGCATAAGACAATTAAATCATGGATTAGTATCGTTGTCGAGTCTTCAGGTAAACTGAAAAGATATTTGACATGTTTTGGTAGGAGTGAGGTCAGAGCACGGAGGCTCAGTCGACCGTTTAACTTGAATGAAAAGACATAAATGTTTGGAAATGCAACTGATGGGTGTATGCAAAAAATGTACAGATCTTCCTGGGACTCAGATTTGGACTTTGAACTAAATTGAAGATGCATTTCCAGTACAACTTTTTAAACATATGTACAAACACTTTGATTCCTTCTCATAAACAAAGGTCCACGGGCTCAAACTACACTCTCTCAATTTTAAAGTTTGATTTTGGATACATGTATCAGCTTGTCATCCAAGGACAATCTGACGCAAAAAAAGGATGACTTCACCAATGTTTTGGGGCTCTGTGAACACAACTGCTTCAGGTTACAACAATGCCTATGTTTTCACCAATAGCTAATGGTACAAGTGGGTTTCATCATTTTGATGTTACACCTTCATGTGCGTGTACGTGCTAACACCCCATCGCATTTGACATGTTTCAGAAAGCCTGATGAAAAACCCAGCTATTATAGAGTACCAAGGAGAGAAAGTCAGCGCATAATGCTGTGTGTAAAAGGCATTTGCGCTAGAACCAGCGGCGAGCGCCTCAACCAACACACGTACGTACTGAGTTGGTTTGTACTACTTTATTTTATTTATTTATATCGGTTCATGCAGCAGAGCTTTTAGCGCCAATTACAAGATGATAATGAGAAGCAGACAATGAAGACATGTTCAGTTTTAGAGGTGGCAGGAAAACCCCAGATAAACGTTTCAGGTAAAACCCACGGACTCAGGTAGGGACTGAAAACCCAATTCACATGTGGACCAAGCCGGATTCGAACCCAGGCCCCCCAAAGGTGGAAGGCGAGGAAAGAAACACAAGAGATCTGATCAATTTGTAGTAAAACTGGACTCATTTTGTGGAAAAACAAATGTGGTATTAATGAGAGATCTGCTAAAATGTTGGCCTGTCTAAAGCAACTTCACAGCTTATCCGCAATCACCCACCAAGATAAATACAGGTCAAGTTGTTTTCTCTCGCAACGTCTTGTGCTCGGAGGTGTTTCTTGACGGTGATGGGATAGTAAGTGCCGGCTTTGACTGTTGCGTCATTGGCTACAATCATACAGTCAACCCTGAAACCAAAGCAAATTCAGTTTTGGCAAATCCATGTTTGGTATTCTTACGAGTAACTGTAAGATATCATATGACTGACGTGCAAAAGACTTTCTGTAAACAGTGTTGATAAATTCCTATAAATATGAACCACGGGAGGAGACTGAATATTTGGGAAATAAAGAGCAAAGCAAATGTAACAATCAACAGATGGAAAAAATGTTGAAATGTAGCTAGACATTTCTGAAATCAACAGAAACTGGTTCTTAACGTTTAAAAGTATGATCCAATTCCACAGAATGCAAGGCACTTTAGCTACTTTTGAGTAACAAGTGTCTTAAAAATATCAGTATCTGGCACAATTTAATTCCTCGACACTCTCCCTTATCTTAAACAGGATGCCCAACTGAGTGATGCACATGTATACATTAGAACAAAGCTCAGTTTGCTCCTATCCAGAAACAAAAAGTATCGAAACCCTAAGATTCATTTTAACCATCTGGTTTCTTTAAAATGATTTCAATGTTACAACTACCCGTTACCTGTAAGTAGTCAAATTTCCATACAGCTTCATTCACAGTTACATGTAAAACCAACACATAGAATGACAGACACCTACCCAGACACTCTACCAATACCAGTGATAATTCCCCCGGCAGGGACTTCTTCTTCCCCGTAGAGATCATATCCGGCCAACTGAGACAGCTCCAGGAATGGAGACCTAAAGTCAGAGTGTGTAAGATATTCATAAACACGATAAATCAAAGGAAAACAATCATCATACCATGTGCCTGGATTCATGAATTAAATTGCTTAAAATAAGGTACATGCACATCCTCATGCTTTAAAGGTTTCTTTAATTTAGCACTAACCCACTTCATACATGTATACACCCTGCTGTGTCCATCAATACGAGCAATGCTTTACCACTTGCTGCTGGGTGCTTTTAAAAATGCAGTGCACACATACAGGCCATTTTCAAGATTTTCAGTTTTCAAAATTCTTCAAAAATTTGTCATTTCATTTAATGGGCGTTTTCACCCACACGAATGACTCCTTGGTGGCTACTCTAACATGTCTAAGCTGACAGGCAACCTTCATTGACTGCTGAGTATTTCAGCCAGGTCTGCCGCCCTGCAAAGAGAGTCCAGAATTGTGAGGTGTTGCATAATTTCCTTTTTTCCCAGTGAATGCAAGAGGCCTCTTTTCAAATGCAGCTGGATTAGCGTGCAGCGGTGCTCATCAGGAGCACTTTTGTCCACGGTGCTAATCCACTGTGAGCTATGCCCAAAACAGTGGTATACTGTTTAAAAACAGTGACAGATTACTTTCAAAAAATACAAGCCAAAAAATGATGGCAATTCCCAGCAGCAGGTCTTCTGTTCCGAGTACGGTCTTTTGTTACACGGACCAGCTCTTTCGTCCAATTTCGGGCAGCCCGGCTCTGCGTATAAACCCATGGTGCCCGGAACGGGGTTCCCAGGCAGCAAGTGGTTAAAGATAGACCAGATGAACAAGGCACTGCAACGATTCCATTATTATTATGCCAATTCACCGGGCCAAGAGACTAATTTTAGTGACTGGAATAAGTTCACACCTGGCTTCTACCCCGGAAGGCATCCATTTGTATTCCTCGGTGGAGAGGGGGCAAAAATGACTTGACCAGGCCACAGTCACAGCATGCAAACCAGTTGCTAGGTTCAAAAACTCCTGAACTATACGCATGATCTGCATTCACAATCCCTATAAAACAACTAGGCCACCAGACTGAATCCATGCGGTTGGATCACTAGCCATCACTTACCCTGGATCCAGCAGGTTATTGATGCGATCTCGGACCAGCATCTTCCCCTGGGACACGTGACGCTGGATGTTCTTCTCACCGCCTCCTTTAGTGGCCGAGGAGACGCGTGATTTCAGATCACCAACCAGTTCCTTCATGCGGGCATAATTTTCCTGTTCAACACATTAGGAATCAACAGCTTTATCAACAAGGAACCACACCTACAACCGTAAGTTGTCAACTTCTACTCACCTTCGTACATGTGCATGCATTGTGAGTATATTGCCCAATTTACATGTATGGGGCTTACTCAGTCACCGTGAAACTATTACCGCGCATTTTTCCTCACTGCCCAATTTGTATTCACTTCGTGAATTTTCGAGAATTTGTATTCACTTCGTGAATACAAATTCCCGATGTCAACGACAAACATGAAGACACACTAAACCATGACTACATGAACATTTTTTTAGTTGAAGTGGAACGAGCTTGGGAAAGAATTGCACACACATGGATGCCACTAACTTACCAAGTTATCCCCGAGGTGACTTATTAACCACCTGAAAGCAATAACATGTTCTAACGTCAGTGACCGTATGGTCACCAGGCTCCTTATTTTGCCATTTACTGTGAAACCAATCAGACTTGACAATACATGTACCTGTAGGTGGTGAAATTAGGGACCTGGTGACTACACGGTCACAGATCGTTACGTGTCCTATAAAGTCAAATTTAGTAGTGAAAATATTACAGTATTCACTCAGAAAACACAAATTTTTAGACCAGTCTCATGGGGTTTGTGCACAGGGTGTCCAGTCTGCCAGTGGTGTCAGTCATGTCAGCAGGCCTAATGTCCGTGACCATATAGTTGCCAGGACCCTAATTTGGCCACCTACATGTACTGTCAGTTCGAGGAGACTGTCCCTACTCCCTAACCTCAGAGAAGTACCTTTATTCGGAGACAAAATCAGTTCCCGGAAAGAGAGAAAGTCCCTCTTCACGTGGACTTTGTGATCCTACCATTGACCTGGGGATCCTTAGACATGTAATGCAAAAATTGGATTCAGCAGGAAAAAACATCCAGGGCTGCTGTTTAACCCTAACCGTCCTCAATCCTTCACCTGTTGGAGGATTGAGGAGGGTTAGGGTTGAAGAAAGCTTCTACTGTTTACTTCTAGCATTACAAACAGGAGTCTGCGATGGAATTAAAGGGTGCAGAAAAAACCACATTAAAACAACTTTTTGCAAATCAATTCTTTATGATATAGTTAACTGAGTGACATGGTACAAGTTCATAAAGACTTCAATAAATCATACATGTATGATGAGAAAAAATGGAGAAAAAAATTGATTCACATAGATATTTTTGACCCCAGCCCACTTATAACGAGATATTCTCTTTCTGGGGATTGGTTAAAGGGATTTTTCCGAAGTTGTGTTGAGTTGTGATGTGCACCTGTACTGATTGTCAAGTCACATTGGTTTTCACAGTAGGCTAAGTGGCAAATTAAGGGACCTGGCGACTATACCTTCATGTACAAAATTCTTTCCCTGGCTTGAAAAGTGCCATCACTCCCATCAGGTTCAACATAAGTCAGAGTAGGACCCTACAAATTGCCTCCTTTAGTTTTAACAGTTCAGCATGGTTAGCGATAGTACATGTACTTAGAGCTCAAGCAACTTTATCAATCATTTACATGTATCTTCTGTACATGTCTATACCCCAAATCAAAATCCTCAGATTTCACCCTCAAATTAAACATGTTCAAATAGTCCTGAAACTGTCTTTCATATGCCCCAACTTTAGCATCTAAGTAACCGACTTGGTTTTTTCCCTCCTAAATTGAACTTTTCTGGACATGTTTTTGCTTTCTGGAAGCTAGGTCACTGTAGGGTAAGCACTGTGGGCATTGTGGAAAGGAAAAAGGAGCAAACATTGCCCTTTTTCCTTCCCACAATGCCTTTCTACCATCGTGCAAAATCACCCATGCAGTATTTGCAATAAGGCTTATCACAGCCCTACTTCAAGGCATGACTTTAATTTCTACAATCCAAACTACAGAATTGTCACAAACTTTGAATCCTAATTCCTGAAATTCATGCCTTGAAGTATGCCTGTGATGGTGACAGAAAAGAGACAGATTTCAAAAGAGAGCCATTCACAGCCAGAGCACGACCGACGACCAACATGATGTACATGTACATCATGTACTGCTACAACTTAGTACTAGTGCTAGTAGTACTTTAGAAGTACATGTAGTACTAGTAGTAGTATCTGTAGGCCTACCTTGTATTGATCGGAATTTTTGTCCGGCGGTGATCCGATCGTTGCAATTCTCTCCCCATAATATGACCGAAATGTTCCTGCCACACTCCTTCGCAGACTGCGACCAAAAAGGCGACAGCAAACGTTCATTTTGGGGCATTTGTTTTGTAGCACTTCCCAGACAAACGAGTCAGATCTACGTGTAGATGGGCGCTGCCATGTTGATTTGCCGGATTACGTACAGTACATGTACATGTACATGTACATGCACGTACGTACATGTACGCATCCGTCACATGCATGCACCCAGCGGGCGCTCGGCGACGAGCGAAGACCACAGCGCCCCCTACCGGCAGATTAAAGCGGGTAAGACAATCAAGAAGGCGGGCCCTGGTGGACATAGGCGGAGGGGTGCTCCTTGGGCGACTACGGCCAACTTCAGGAAAATGCGGTCGCTCATTGTGAGAGAAGCAAGACATTACTTTTATCAGAAGTTCTTTTCACGATCAAGTAGGCGGATGTGTGCGAGAGGAAAAAAGCAACTAAGAAGATACGAGTAAAACTTCTCAGATGTTGCCTACATGACATGAACATGTCATGTAGGCATGAACATGTTCATGCCTACATGACATGTTCATGTCATGACATGTTCACTTTTGACATGTTCATGACATGTTCATGAACATGTCATGAACATGTCAAAAGTAGACGGCATACAAAATTTACAAGGTGTATGCCGTCTACTTTTTGCCCACGGCTAGGTAACCGACTCTAGAAGATCATATTTCAAGCTCTTCTAGATCTCCCTCTGGACAAATCATTTCTTGGTCACAAATGAAACACATACTTCCAAAACAGTAGACTGACAAAAAGACACTTTAACTCTGGTATTTGTTTAGACTATATTTTAATGACAATTTTTCAAGCTTCAGTACACCATATATTTCTTCCACTGTAATTGCTGTCTTTTTAAAAATTTCTTTTGATTTCATAAGTCAGTGATTTGTGAACCACAAGTCTGTCATATTTGGAAGCCTGCAATGACTTTTTGCAGAGACACAGTATAGAAATGAAAAAATTGAGTGTTTGCCTCTCAAACAAGTTCAAGCAAAGTCAAAAACATGAATTCTGTAGTACCAGGACATTCCTCCATGTACATTTCTTGATGTTGAAGTTTCCAGCTACCAAAAAAGTCTGCACTCAACAAGGTGGGCTCCCAAGACCTTTTTCGTGACAACTGATGGATATAAATCAATATTTTACTTCTTCCACTGAGCATGACGAAGAAAGGTCTTTATTAAAACAGTGTTTAAACGAAACGTAAAGTTTCACACCTATTTCCATGTTCCACGTTTATGATGATGAACATTGTAGAATAGGAACCTAATACAAAACATAAAGAAGCCTGCCCCTCCCCCAAAAGGAAGTCAGTCCCTCGGAGATGGCAGATGGCATTTATTACTAAGTACCAGGAGAATAAAGATTAATGACAGATACAGTACACGGTGTCTGCAGGCTCTGAGAGCATCCTTCAAAGCACTTAACATTTTCATTCAGTGTATTTAAATTGTAAACAAACAGCTTAACATCCTAGGGCTGCTATACAGAATGTACATCCTCCAAGGCACTTCAACATTTGGCATTTTATTAAATGGCCTGTCGGAGAGCATAGGTCAAAGACCAAGGACAATGGAACAAGTTTACATTCCACTGGCAGTGCACTGTGTAAATACACCACTGGAGCACATGCCTTCTTTTCTGATCAGTTGAATCAATAATACTTCCATAATGCACATGCTCCGGGGTGGGACGCTCTTGATCTAACACTGGGAAGTACATTATCACTCCTGTTCCATCGGGCTTTGCTTTGCAAAAGCTGGACGTCAGTCGGCCTGTCAGTTGAAGCTAAGTTCCCAATCACTGCTTGGTCTCTGTTGCGAGTTCTGCCGGCATTTCGATGGCCGCCGGTCCAGTGTTCGCAGCCTGGTTCCTGTTTCTCACAAAATTGCTGATTCGTCGGCAGACGAGGAAGCCCCCGTAGCCCGTCAGCATCAGCATGCTGACCGTGAAGCTCTTGTATCCGATGTCTGCGACTTTCTTCCCAAGTGACATGATTGGCTTTAGACTGGCTGTCTACTGTTATGCGATACCGATCCAATATGTTATCTCCACCTGAAATATACCGTAAATAATAAAAATAGCATACAGTATACAACACGGATTAATCCTTCCACTCTAGTGACGGTGAAAAACATAAATTCCATCAAAAGGCCATTTGATCATAGATTGTCAAAAGAAGTCCACTTGGATATAAAACTGAACTTAGGCCTAGTTCTGAAACAGGCCAGAAACATTCAAAAAAGTCTTCAAACTGACAGTGGTCAGCGCCTACTCGTACATGTACATTTACCTTAAACTTTCCATAATCAGCGACAGTATGGTGCACTTCGTTTGGAAAATAAATTAAATGCTATTATGGACAGCATGTACAATGAAGGAACCAAATTAAAAGGGGGGCCAAGATGTAAACTTATTAGACACTGGTATAACTACATGTAGGTGGGTGATAGTTACAGAGGGACATTGAATGCACACATTTTTGGTGTGGTACTGAATTTAAGGCATTGATCTCCAGCTTGTCTTTATGGTCTTGGATAAAGTTGTACAAATGACAAATGTAAATGGATTCTGCAATCAAACATTTCAAAATTGGGGAGGGGACAGGCTGGGGCACAGACATGACGGACCTCAGGGAAAGAGTTCCATATACGACAACTCTTGATGCTCTATGCACAAACCTATTTGTCTGAAAAAACCTACATGTGTTATCTAAGTAATTGTATGGGAATTTTCCCAGCTAAATTTCACTTTTTAGCTCTACAGTCCTTGTACTCGGAGACGTCCCTTTATTCAAAGACAAAATCAGTCCCCAGTGTTTTCCAAGTAGGCTAGGCCTACCCCCAGAACTGTGGGGCCTGACGTCTGCTCCTCGTGGAAGAGACCCCACACTTCTGGGGTTTGTGGGAGAGGAGCGGACGTCAGACCCCACCGTTCTGGAGGTAGGCTAGGCCTAGTAAATGCTTCAGAATTTTCTTAGCTAAATTTTGCTTTTTAGGGCATGTTATCACTTTCTTGTGGCTGTTTTAAGGGAAAATTAGTGTTGTCCGTAGGCTTATATAGAACTCTTTCCGACCTCAGCTCAGAGGCACTTACATGTACCCCTGCCCCCTCCTCATTATGACTTTCAGGGTTCTGCCCAGGATGGTTTTAGT